GCCACCTCGGCCACCGGCATGCCGCGCGGGCCAAACCGCCCGCACAGTAAGTCGGAACGGCGTCAAAAAAGAGAGTCGGGCCGAAAAGAAGAAAAGCAGATCGAAAGGCTGCCCATTAGGACTCGCACAGCACATGACCCCCACTCTCGACGTCACTTTTGGTTTGGACCTGATGACTTAACCAATCCGCCCGTTCCTCCTCGCGTTGCGACCGTTTCGCAAACACACTCCGCTCTGCGAAATCACGACCCTCGTCTCCCGATTGTTGATACTAAGGGCCAACCGGACGCACATTTGGCACACGCCGCCGACGCGTCGTCGTCGCTAAATTCTGCAGGAGTGTCCCAGTGCCCCGCAGCCGCGGACCCTGCTTCTGTTCGAATCCGTGTCCTGGTGCGCACCGCCCGGCACCACCCCAGTTCGACGCGGGGATCCAGAATCCACTGCCCAATGCAGGGGACGGTAGCATTCGAACTTGTAGACGGCAGGACGACGAGCACGCGTACCGACACCGGGCACCAGGCTCAGCTACAGTCCTCTTGCAGCCCTTGGAAATGTGCCTGGGCCTCTTAGGACAGTCCCCTTTGTGGGCACGACACACGGAAAAATGGGCGCGATTTGAGAGCCGACACGAGATTGCTGCCCCCGCCGCCGCAGCAACTCTCTCTCTCTCTCTCTCTCTCTCTCTCTCTCTCTCTCTCTCTCTCTCTCTCTCTCTCTCTCTCTCTCACACACACACACACACACACACACACACACACACACCCGCGCCCTCCAGTAACCCTACGACTCCTTGCGAAATACGAAAATTGGCGACAGACGAGCTCGGAGTCGACGTCCTCGACGAGCTCGGTGTTCACTGAGGGCACGGCCGTCGCCGAGGCCGTCGCCGAGGCCGTCGCCGAGGCCGTCGCGAGGCCGTCGCGAGGCCGTCGCCGAGGCCGTCGCCGAGGCCGTCGCCGAGGCCGTCGCCGAGGCCGTCGCCGAGGCCGTCGCCGAGGCCGTCGCCGAGGCCGTCGCCGAGGCCGTCGCCCTCCGCGACCTGGCGGAGGGAGGCCTCAAAGCAGACGGTGGAGCGCGTCGGCCAATCAGTTCACACATGGAGAGGTGTCGTAATTGGCAATCGGAAAACTGGAGACGGCTGTGCAAACGTTCTTCCTTTCCACTGGGTTTTACAGAGAATAACCGGGCGGAGCGTGTTTGATCTCATTTCCACACGGCCAGTAACAGTGAGAGGCTCATGCTTGAGAGAGCCGTTTGTTGCGATATACATCGGCAACTTTGGCCCGTCCCGTACATTTAGGAATGTGCGAATTTCGCCTATTTTTAACCCTAACGTGGTTTGACCCTGAGTCTGGGGTCGAAATAGGTGTTATTTTCGTCATCAGCACCCTCGAAAACATCAAACACAATGCAAAAACTTGAATGACAAGAATGTTCAAAATGTACCCCACTGGGACTTGAACCCGGGTCCAAACTTCTCCGGTTCGCTCGAAACTGGCACCGTTGGTCTTGTCTCGTCACCCCGATCCCAAACATACCCCTGCATGCCCTTCTAGCTGTATCCGTTGCCAAAATCCTCTTCGACCCCATGTAGACTATGATGCACCTCCGTCATTTTTTTTTACAAAAAAAAAAAAAAAACGGGACGGGCCAAAAACCTGCCCTGACACAACGCTGAGACGGCGCTTGCCAGAGGAGCGGTGCGGTGGGCGTCTCGTCCACGCATAATCGCAAAATTGGACATGGACAACAAATTCAACAACACGCCGAGGATCATGCTTGAAACGGAGCCGTTGTTAAGAGTCCATCCTTGAACCTTGAACAAACGTTGTGCTCACGAATGCTAACCATTTCTTGGACAAAACTGCCCTATTGGACAAAACTGTCCAATTGTGGAGAGAAAAGTACCCTTTCGGATTATTTTGAGGTTTGTTACCCGAAAAGGTTTTTTTTCTTTCAGATAATAGGAAGTATTTCCATTCTAAGCTTGCATTTGTAAAAACAAACAATACAAGGGTTCAATTGACATAAACAAATCCCCCGGAGGTCGTTGACCGCGGTCGGTCCGTGCTTAAACCACGCCATCGATTGCCTCAACGCCGCCCACCGACACGCCCCGTGTCACAAGCCGTGTCACGACAATGCAAAGCGAGTGGCGCCCCTGGAGACGCCCCAGGGTGATTCCACGCCAACTGAGTCAGTCACAAAACGGCATGGTCTCGGATCGGGACGAAACTTACGCAAATCGTAGGTCTAGTAGTGGGATGACTAAATCCAAAAGCGTTTGGCCGAAAAATATCTAGAAGCCGAGATATTGAGAGGTTAAATATGGTGCCGGGACAGCGACACGGAGACAGTTTTTCGTTCACAGTTTCGGTAATATCCATCGGATCGAGAAACCAAGCATACCGTTGGAAAGAGGAGAAAATTTTACAAAAAGTACTTCCTTTACTTTCTTTTAAAAAGTAAAAATAGTGTTTGATACGAAATAACCTTACCTTTGATTTATCGTAGAAAGTTAGTTGCACCACCAAATTTGCTGGGAAACGTCTTAAAAAATTCCCCGTGAAACAAAGATAAGAAAAAGATCAACCACAAAAAGTACTATCTCTCGTTCCCGAGATATCTGCATTTAACTATCTTGAAGTAGCATTGCGAGTTCAAGCTCGCGCGGCGGACGAGGTATGAGAAATCCTGCGGCGCGCGCATCAGTAGGCACGTCGCTAAATGACCCGAATTAGAGCAAAACGTACATTTTGAGCCACAATACTGACAAAGTGGCGTACGAAACGTGCAAGGAAGAGTGTGTGAGGCGGACATAGCTGTGGATGCGGTCAAAATCACAAATGCAACGGTTGTAAACAACTCAGTGTGCCGCAGGATTTCTCATACCTCGTCCGCCGCGCGAGCTTGAACTCGCAACGCTACTTCAAGATAGTTAAATGCAGATATCTCGGGAACGAGAGATAGTACTTTTTGTGGTTGATCTTTTTCTTATCTTTGTTTCACGGGGAATTTTTTAAGACGTTTCCCAGCAAATTTGGTGGTGCAACTAACTTTCTACGATAAATCAAAGGTAAGGTTATTTCGTATCAAACACTATTTTTACTTTTTAAAAGAAAGTAAAGGAAGTACTTTTTGTAAAATTTTCTCCTCTTTCCAACGGTATGCTTGGTTTCTCGATCCGATGGATATTACCGAAACTGTGAACGAAAAACTGTCTCCGTGTCGCTGTCCCGGCACCATATTTAACCTCTCAATATCTCGGCTTCTAGATATTTTTCGGCCAAACGCTTTTGGATTTAGTCATCCCACTACTAGACCTACGATTTGCGTAAGTTTCGTCCCGATCCGAGACCATGCCGTTTTGTGACTGACTCAGTTGGCGTGGAATCACCCCCCAAGGCGCCTCAAGGCCCCACGCCGCCGCGTGTTTACAACTCCAATCGATGCTTCGACGCCCTAATTTTTCATAATAGACGATGTTAACGCGGAGCGGGACTGAAACGCCCACTATCGATGTGGTGGTTCAGCCCGCCACACGGCAAGGGCCAGGGGCCGTCAGTGGCGGATCCAGAGGCGGCCTAGGGGGGGGGGGGGGGCAAAGTGGCACTTTTTGCCTACTTACAAGGGCAAAGTAGCACTTTTTGCCTACCTTTCAGGCGGCTATCTAGGGGCTATGGGAGGAGGACCCCATTGCCCCCCTGTATCCGCGCATGGGAGCCGTCCGGAAAGCCGTTTGCCTCCGGCCGGGCGCCGCGGGGGCGACCGCGTGGGGCAGGTCCAGGACTGTCGTCGGGGCGGCCCGTCCCGTCCCCTCCGCGGTCCGTCCCCTCGGCGGTCCGTCCCCTCGGCGGTCCCCGTTCACAGAGGGCAAACGGGAAACGCCTGGCGAGTCCACGGCGGCAACACCCCGCGCGGTCGTTAATGTAATGGACGGTCTGGTCCGGGCCGTGCCGGCGTGGGGTGCGTCCACGGTGCGTCCGCGGTGCGTCTCGGCGCGGCGCGGTCCGAAGACGGGCCACTCCACCCCAGCGAGGCGGCGGCCGGAAGCGGCCGGAAGCGGCACGGGATATTCAATCAGTGCGCCTTCATTACGCGACCACCATTTGGCTCGGCGGGCCGGCGGGTGGAGGGGCCGGCCGGCTGGCGGGGGCTGGCTTTGGATGGAGAGCGCGCTTTGACTCACAGTGACCCGGGGCGGTTTGGCACCAAAACCGCTTCGACTGGCTTCGAGAAGACTGCAGAGTGGGCCAAGACCGGCGCCGGCGGCGAAAACTCTAAACGCATTTTAATATCTATAGTCGCTAAATGGGACTTGAATCAAGCGTGTGACCCCACCAATGAAATCCTTGTTCGGAGAGCAATCCATTGGTGGGGTCACACGTTCGGTTCAAGATCCGATTAGCGCCTCTGGCGGTCGAAACGCGTCCGGGACTTTGACCGCCTCCACCAGTCTTCTGGGTCAATGTGGACTGGCTCCGCGACGACGGGCTCCTCCAATCCACCCCCATTCGTTCCCGCTGCGGTTGAAATGACGCCGGCCTCACAGAACTTCCCCACCACTCTGCCGGCCGATAGTTCATCCCCGAAATGCATTTTTCTCGGCGCCTCAGTGGCTGGGCGTGTCACGGGCGGCGCTCGGAGAGTTACGGCGCACTATCGGGTCGGGAGGACGCTCCAAACACACTACTACAGTGTTAATTATAACCACACATTACGGCCACCAAACGACCAGGTCCACGGCGCGTCGCTTCGGGCCGCTGCATTCGGGGGGCGGCCCTTGCCGTGCTCATTAAGGAGGTGCTCAGGTTGGGGGGGGGGGGGGGGGGACCACGAGCCAGCCCGCCGCGCCTCGACAACCCTTGCGGCCCGCTGCGCGCTCGGCCTCAAATGCTTCTAATTCCCTTGGCGACAAGCGGCCCACCTAAATCAGGATCTAATAATAATATCGCCGTCATTTCGGCCGGCGACACTTTTACGGCGACACTACTCACTGCTGCTCGCCGCGCTTCAGGTTGACCTGCTGGTGGAACGCCTCCACCTCCTCCAGGAGCCCCTGCGCCAGCATCGCGTCCACGCGCCTCGCCAGCCGCGCGTTCAGCGTGTCCTGCAACAGAGTAGCGTCACCAGTTACCGCACGTGGCCCGGCCCGGCACGGCCTGCCCAATTGTCGCCACCCAACAAAGTGTTAGCGCGACGGCGTGGCGAGCCAGTGGCGTGCCCAGGCACCCAGGTCCTCGAGGGAGGGCCATCTCGGACGAGGCACCGCACGCACACTCCTCGACACACACTTCGTTCATGCTCCTTCAGTGTCTTTTTGCGGCAGCCAAAGCCACCAGCGCACAAGTTTGGAAAAATTGCGCCACGCTGCGGAAACTCAAACTTGGTGACAGACAATTCGCGCCGCCTCTCTCCCTTTTATTTCCCCTGGCCTCGTTTTACGGCGCCACCGGGGAGACGCGTGCACCTGTCCGCCTAATATTAACCCGAGTCAAGGCCGCGCTGAATAGGGAAGCGGCACTGTTAAGGGCTGCGTGGCGCTGCGTGGCGCTGCGTGTGGCGACCGCCAGCTGCAGACTCATTCCGAGAGTCTTTTCGGTCGCCCTGTCTCTCTCGCACTCATGGGGCGTCCAGTAAAGGAGAGAGACAGAGCGACGAAAACCCTTCTCGGAATCGGTCTGCTGCAGGGCGAGCAGCTGTCGAATGTGTGTTGCCATGGCGACAGCGCTGCCTGGCTGGCGGCGCCTTGCGCAGTAGGCTACAAAACCTGAGGAGGAGGCCAAAATTCTAGAAGCGTTTTGAGGTCCAGAGTCGATAAAGAGGACTCGAACCGAACGTGTGACCCCACCGATGGATCGCTCTTCGAACGAGGAATCCTTTCGTGGGGCCACGCTCGGTTCGAGTCCCATTAAGCGTCTAGAATTTTGGCCGCCTCCACCCGTCGTGACCCACTGCGCCTCGGTGCACAAAAGGCACTCTCGGCGACCGCTTGGCAGCGCTCCACCGAGTCACGTCTCACTTCGGGAGGAAAGCACAACTCGAGAGACACATACATCTTTCAATATGACCTATAGTCAGGAAACCAAGGAAACGTCACTTTTTAGCTCAAGGCGAATCAAACCTTGAGCCGTCACCGGCAAATAAGAACGGAATTGGTTGTTGCTCGCGCGGAACGGGCCCTGTGTGCTGCAGCAGGAACGCCTGCACCAAAGGCAGCGCCCTGAGGGAAGGGCGACTACCCGCTGCGAGGCTAGGCTGCCGCCACCGCGCGTCGGCAAGGCCTGTCCCGCTCGCACTTAAAGGGTTGCCGGACAGTGGCGAGAGACAGAGCACTTATCAGCCGCAGCCACGCCCCCTGTTGTCTGGCCGGCATAAATTTGCGCGGTGCGCGCGTTCGGAAGAGCAGAGCCCCCCGCAGTGTGCAGCTTGGCTTCATCACTGGTGTAAATCAACTCAGAAATTTTCTGATACTTTTGCATATCAGAACATATCTTAAGTCTGAGTTCTGATGTTTTTTCGGACACCTATTTCTGATGTTTGTGTTTCTGATGCCTCAATTTTCTGATGACTTTAGTTCTGATAACATTGGCTGGACTCATAAAGAAATATATCAGAACAATCATTTTCTTTTCTAGATATATATTTTGATCTACATGAGACTCAGAAACGGGAAAACCGTCTTCAGGGGATCGAAACCGAGTCCGATCCAAATCTGCAGTCCAAATTGAGCTAGCTCGCCATCAACTCTCAAAAAGACAGTAAATGTGATCCGATCTCATTGAAATAAAAACTGGCCTAGCCAAATCTTGCAAACAAGACACTCACCAAATTTGAAATTGAAATTACGTAAACTTTCTATTATACAGGGATCTCATTTTTTTGAACATCAGACATCAGAAACATTTCTGACAGTTATATTCCTGATAAGTAGCAGTTATCAGAAATCAGATCGACTTATCAGAAAGGCCTCTTTCTCTGATGCCTCTATTCTGATGACCTATGAAAGTATCAGAAAAAAACAATTCTGATGACCTCTTTCTGATAAATCATTGATGTTATCAGAAAATACTCGAAATCTGATGTTTTTTTGTCAAGTTATCAGAAAATCCACCGTTTATCAGAAAATTTCTGAGTTGATTTACACCAGTGATCGCAACACAGTCATTCTCGCATTCCACGCGTGCCCCAGCAGGCTGCTTCCGATGGTCGTCTCCACCGCCCTGTCTCCGCGGCCCTTACAAGGGACGCCTCATGAGCGCAAGAGCGACAAAGCGTCGAAAAAGGCTCTAGGAATCAGTGTGTACTGGGCGGCCAGAGACTCGGTCTAATCAGCCGGTTCGACGCCGCATTTTTCCTTTTTTTCTTCTTCCCGGCAGCGCCAGCTCTTTATAGGCCGTGTGGCCTCTATCACTAAGGCCTTCCCCGCCGCACCGCGACGCGACGCGCGGCCCCGTTCGCGCCAAAACCCTCCGCGTGGCCCGGCGGCCCGGCCGGCCCGGCCCCCCGCCGCGGCACGGCGGCACGGCCCACCGCTGTCGCCAAGGGGCCCGCGCACTTCAGCCAGACGGAAGAGGAGGGAGACAGAAACTGGGACGCGTGTCGGACGGGCCAGCGAATGCGCGTTTTTATGCCAATCCGTACCATTGTGCCGTTCCCAATCTGTTTCAGCATTCAGTGAACGGAAATAAACACGCGTTACTTTACCGGGATCCGTGAACTTGGTGGTATATTAACAGCCAGTCATTTTGTGCCCAGTTGCACTCGTGTAAATTTTGTCAGAATGTCAGAAACCTGTCTGAAAACCTGATCAAAATTCGCGCACCTCAGAAAGCTGAAATTCTGAAAACTTAATCTGATATTGATGGTTTGAGTACTACAGACCGTCAGAAGATGTTTTTAGCTTTCAGAGGTGCGCGAATTTTGATCAGGTTTTCAGACAGGTTTCTGACATTCTGGCAAGATTTACACGAGTGTGGTAGACAAGCGATCCTCTCGTTAGCGATCACTACTTGAGGCAAGCACCGCCCCTGACAGCTTCGGGAGGATAGGCGAGCCCAAGCAAGCCTTTCGCCCTACGTGACGAGGCAAACTTCAATGCCAGGCATTCGCGTCGCACTTGACAGGCATTACAGTCTGTCTCAGGTCGGAACGAGCCTGGAGACGGTCGCGTCGTTGCAGCGGTAGTGCGGCTACCTGCTATTGAGGGTGGCAGTGGCCTGTGCCGAACCCCCGCTGCGAAGGGTCTGTCCCTTTTCATTTCAGAGGTGTTGCTGCAGTTGCTGAGGAGGCAAGTGAACCTCGCCAGGCTCGTTCCGACCTGAGACAGACTGTAGACGAAAGCCTCACGAGGATTTAAGCGTAAGCCGCAGTTACCTTCTGCGGGTTCAACGGCACCACACTGCAACCCGCTATCTAAAGCGAATCAAACAAAAGTAAAAATTTCACCTTGCCGGACGAAATAATTTTCATAGAGTTCAAGATGTCAAAATGAGAGCGAGCGGGGACTTGGCTTTCAGTCACAGCACAACTACAGGCTGCGAGGTTAGTGAGGGGAGAGCCTGGCCATCGCCAGGGGTCCAAGGAGATGAGGACTCGGGGCTGGACGGGAGAATCCGCTAAAAGGATGGTATGAATGTGTAAAGTCACTTCGTAGTCGATTCAGGGGAATCAAGAGTCGCATAGACTTTTGCCACCGTGTGTCAGTCGCGCAAACTGAAATGTGGAAGGCTTGCTACTTTATGCAACTCAATTCAGCCCGTGCCAGTGCACACGGGCTTGCCTGCTCCAGAGCAGGACAGGAATAGACTCCACTCAGGCCGAAGGCTGTTCCTGGAACCTCCACACTGTTAAAAAATGGTTGTATAGAAACAATCAGATGAGTGAAAATTTAGTCGTTCCAAAACAAAGAATTTTATCATGAACCAAAGCGAAAGAAATGTTGTTGAATCTTGTAAGCGACAATTTGTCGTTGAAGAACAAAATTCTTGTTATCATCCTTAACGATACTATTTGTATGGAAACAAAATCTTTTGCAATTATCTGCTCAATCAAAGCAAATTATGACTAATCATCTATTGGCCTTCTTTAGTCATAGCAACATTACTTTTATTTAAAAAAGAACTAGGCAAAATAAATTTAGCGACAAAAGTACTCCATGAATACTTGTCCCAGACATTACAAAATCTTTTTTGACTTACAACACTTGTCGTAGACCAACAACATTTGTTGTTGGTCAACGACTTGTATTTGAAAGTAGACTGCTAATGTGTTATTACAAGTTAGTCGTTGTGAAATTATCCTTTAGTTCCAGTACGAGTTTGGTTAAACAAGCTATTCGTTCCACAACAAATCTTGTCGCTAAAAAAATTAGCGATAAATGTGTCGCTAAGTTACGACAAAATTTTTGTCAGTGCAGTCCCGAATTCGAGGAAGACGTACCAAGCCTCGACCCATCTATCCGTGACACAACTCTATGCTTCACAGCAGGACACCGTCACAAAGTCACACACCCGAAAAAAAGTGATTTTAGCCCTGATGCCTAGCGGCAAGATCAAGACATGCCCCTTTGCCGCGGGGCCTGAGGACTTTTGCAAGAGTCGCTTCCTGCGAGAAAGATCCCGTTTTGGGGTTGCGCATCCAGTTCAATGCGACACACACATTCAAAAGAATTGGGACACGGCTGCCACATTCAAAGGAAGATTTCAGGTTTCAGGTTAGGGGTTCAACTAGCAGCCTTGAGGTGGCTTCACGTCCGTAACTTGAAGAAGGGAGGCCCAAACGCGGAAGCTGAAAGTGTGTGTGTGCACAAGTGGAGGGGTGGCGCCGTGCCGCGCCACGAACGCGGCTCGGGTCTTTTTTTGGAACAATCACGGCCACACCTGTGCAACTCCAACAGGTAGCCACCACACCCCTCGCACAGGTGGGCGACGCGCAAGGGTGCAGTGGCGAGCTGCTTTACATGCTTTAAGGCCATTCTGCGCCTTAACGCCCGAAATACGCACTGCGGTGGACACGCACGGCAAGGCACACCCACTGACTCCTTTCCTCAAGAAAACCCTACAACACAAAGGTAGACTTCTGAAGTAATCTGCAGTAATCTCAAAACGG